AACACTCCTAACCCTTTTTGAAAGAGTAAAGAATAAATGAATGAATGTTATGCATGCTTATACATGATTCTGTTATATGAACTATGATATCGGTAAATTCTGGCCACTACGCAATAGGTCCTCCATTGGTAGTGGATATTCTGATTCTGTTATATGAACTCTGATATCTGTGATTTCTGGCCACTACGCAATGGGTCCTCGATTGGTAGTGGATATTCTGATTCTGTTATATGAACTCTGATATCTGTGATTTATGGCCACTACGCAATGGGCCCTCCATTGGTAGGGGATATTCTGATTCTGTTATATGAATTATGTTATCTATGATTTCTGGCCACTACGCAAGGGGTGCTCCATTGGTAGTGCATATTTTGTTCCTCGCCTCCTATGATAGGAGTGGAGTCGGGAGGTAACTGTATACGACAGGGTAGGTCGCGCCCCCCAAATTGTTATGGGCACTATGCATTGGGTCCTCCAATGGTAAGTGTAACACCCTCTCGCCTGAAGGCTCAAGAAGAGGGATGTGTCTTGCAAGGCCTCAGCCTATCAAAACCCCAAAGCACGCTGGGGATCGTGTGTGTGTGAGTGAGGACATTACGAAATGGGGCCTCGATTTGTCATTGTCTTCCCTCCTGATTGAGGGTAGAAGTTTCAAGTTGCAGGATTGGCTTAGCCTGATCGATGTGACTTCTACTTCGGGAGTAAATAATTATATTTCTGATTTTGTTTTTTATTCTATTTTTTTTCTGTTTCTGTTTCTAATTATGTTTCTATTTCTGATGCTGTTTTTGTTTCTGATTCTGCTTCTGTTTCTGATTCTGTGACTGTTCATGTTTCTGTCTATCTGTCTGAATTAAGTATCCTGTACAATTGTATGGCTATGTCTGTGATAAGCATCAATATAACTGTCATTTCAGGAAATGTTAGAAGCTTTGATATCTAAACAATGCTCATTTTATGCTGTTACTGTACACAATCTGAGGCATGACTTTACTTTCTGATGCCAATGAGATGCCTGATGAACTGTAAGCCTTGTTATTATTTATAAACCTGTTGGTAAGATTGCATGATATTGATTCACTTATTGAGCTTTTTAGCTCACACCTCTCTTTTTCCTCCTTTGTAGAGTGAGCACCGATTGTTCGTGTGTGGACTGCTTAGTGGTGGTAGTGGACTCTTAAAGTTCAAGTTTTGTTCCAAGAATTTGTTGATTTGTAGGTGTCTGGTGGCGTTGCCACAATGTTTTTGATGGATATTGTATTTTTCATCGAGCTAATAGCGCCCTGAACCTTTGTAAAAGAACTTTTTAAGGTTGAAATTGTATAAATGGTTTCTCTCTTGCTCTGTTTGTGGCCTTGTGTTCATGTGTTTATTTATTTTTCTTCGTGGTTTGCTTTGATTCCGCAATTATAACACGTGTTGATGCCACTCCCACCTGAGTGACGTACGCGACCTCCAGTCCCACACTCTGTTGCCCTCCGGTTGAGAATGGTAGGGGTCAGGGGGCGGGGTCGTGACACATTTGGAGTTTTGAGTATTACGGCCTTTTACGTAACGTAATGACCAGTCTATGCATTACGATAGTTTAAAGACCGTAATGTTCAGAAACTATAGAAGTTTTCCTGTAGTTTTGAGCAGTCCGGTCTTTAAAGTGCCGTAATGCATAGACTGGTTATTACGGTACTTTGACAAGAAGACATTGAGTTTTTTAGTAGGCTGTGTAATGTGTATTGCTGGTTCAGTCATAATTTTCATCCATGTACCTCAAGAGAGTACTATCACTTCTACTGTAGATGGGTGTTCACAAATTGTGTAATGCTCATTTGTATCAGTTTCAAATTTTTAGTCTAATACTTTGTCGTAAAATTGTTTTAGTCTAACAGATCTTTAACAAGTAATAGCAGTATGTAATGAGAGATGACTTTCAATCAGCTTGATTTGGTCACATGTGTGCACTTCTAAAACAAGTATCAGACTTTTAGACCTTGAGATCAGCTAATCGATTTATTGCACTATTGACATCTCCTAATTAAAATAAGTGGGGATTGATATTGCGATGAAAGGTTGACAAAGTTAAATTCAATGCATAACTCATTGCACCAACAAAAAATAAATATACAAATATCACAAAGACAAATATCATATTGTATATTGAACCAACAACTTTGCATAAATATCACAAATATGGCAAAAAACCAACTGTAGGCACTGCTAATCTCTTTATACAGTATATGCACTATTGGCTTTTTTACAAAAACAACTTGACCAACAAAAAAACATAAACTATAAATAAGTTGAACACTTTTGTCGAATTTTATACTTGATCCCACAAAGGCCGCTCAAGTTGTATTGTATTTGAGCTGCTTTCTTCTTGTCTAATTCCGTGAGAGCATAACTTCTATCTAGGTGCCTCCGGTTGAACATGTGTGTTAGGTTATGTATAACTTGGCCCCTCATCCAAGAAGGGTACCATATTGAAACCATATCTTCCATCTCCCCATCCAACTCCATTTCCTCAGAGGCCTCCTCATCCGTTCTCATCTTCTCCCTTGCAGCTTTTGGGTCGAATAATTTCAGTCATTCTAATGCTTCCCCAATTACGTCCCAATTCCTTGAAGTGTAACCTTGAAGTACAAATTGTGCTGCATGGCTGATGTCCCTAAGCTGCATCGTCAAATGAAAATAGATCATTGAGACTTATAAAATTAAAGAGGTGTAACATACCATTCTATCTTCATCGTGATAGCCTCACGGTGTGAATCTTGAGGGATGTTTTCTAAATGGATTACGGATTGAGGGCTTAGTCCTTAGTATGTACCATTCGATGTATTCTTGTGCCGGCTTCCCATTGAACATGTCATTTGCTACCTGACACATATAATCTAGTATATTCGTCCACATATCTATCTGAGGTCGAAGCTCGTCTCTACCCCTTTCACTCCCTCCTCTCCCACGGCAAGGGATCACCCAATATCCATTGATGAAGTCCAAACTGCCGGAGCACACGATTTGGCATGTACCCTTTACAAATGTGTCCATATGAGGTATGTGGACACAAAGCAGTCTAATTAACAAGAAGGCTATAATCTCTTTCCTCCTCAGTTTCCTCCTACATCAAGAAAATCATCATATGGGGTCCACATGACCTATGACAAAAAAAAGAAAAATTTATAGTAAATACACAAAAAATTTACCAAAATATAAATAAACAAAGTCAATGAAAATTATTCTATACTAACATCTTTATCTGTGCGTTATCGGTCTCTTGTCGCCCCACGAGAGGGAAGTTGTGAGAGTGGGATCTAGGTTGCCCTGCCCTTGGGCGCAACAATTGGAAGTGCTCGTATGCCCAACACTGAAATGCATGTATAAAAAATAAGTAGTACAACCAACTATCTATCAAAACATTAACATAATAGATAGAATATGAAATAGCCTCAATGTTAGTTGCACCTTATAGTGAAAACATGTTAAACTAGAGGTTTTCTTTATGCTTTTGTTTTTCCTTCATGCATTCTATACCCAAGTAAAAATAGTCATCATCATCTATTTTCAATCAAAACACAACTTGGAAGTATATGGTCAAGTTGGTGTGAAAAACAAATAAATTAATACATAGCAAAAGAAGGAGGGAACAAATAACAAATGTTTTCCTCATGCCTTAGTTTTTCCTTGATGTATTCTTTACTCAAGTAAAATTGTCATCATCATCTATTTCAATCAAAATACAACTTGGAAGTATATGGTCAAGTTGGTGTGAAAAACAAATAAATTAATACGTAGCATGATTCGGAGGGAACAAATAACAACATTAAAAACACAATATGAAACCATTAATCATCCAAAAGCCATGTTTAATATCTGTGATCAACACTTACAACCATAATAAATAAGAGAAAGAAAAAAATCCATTAGACATATCCATTACATTTCTTATATTAGGGAAACTATTTTTGATGGTGCCCATGGACCCATAAAAAAAACTGTAAAAACCTCATGCACAAAAAAGAAAAATGAGGTTTTGAATGAGCTTGTCATCATGGATATAACTTTGCATATTGTAACCTACAACTTAAAATACTACAAAGAACTGAAAGAAGCTCATTTCACTAAAACAAAATGAGGACTCTAAAAAAAAATGACTCATGGATATTTTTCAACAACATAAAGTACATAAATAATATGTATAAAAAAAGGTAGAAAATAGTGTATTGGGCAACATTGAAGATACCTTAAAATACTTGACCTACGTAAAAAATTGAAGATTTCCTTCCTTTTATAATGGAAAATTTGCCCCATTTACCCCAAGTCATAGAAAAAAGCTAAAATTGGCAATGCTGAATCAATATATAATCATATGGTAATTACGCTAAATTGGTTGAAATGCTGTAAAGTACTATTGAAACTTGCTCAAACAAAATTTTGGGGAAAGATTTTTTATCTCAAAGGAGAATAGAAGAGGGAAATAAGGGAGAAAAAGACCTAGTGAGAGATTGAACGCCAGGTAGTAAGGGCCTAAGAAATTTTATGCTAGAGAAGAAGAACAGAGCCACCCTAAAACGGTAAAAACAGAATCGTAATTGAAGAAAATGGTTTCAGGGGATGTATAAGATATGATAATATTACAATATTTCGAGTGCTGTAACAAAATTTCAAATTGTTACGGTATTTAAAATGCCATATAAGATGCGATAATCTTTACGGTATTTAAAGTACCAGAGTGATAGGGCATTTTAAAATGTGGTAGTCATTATGGGCTGTCGAGTACCGTAATAGTATTTCAATTTATTATAATATTTTAAATACCTTATAAAATGTGATAGTAATTGTGATAATATGACTATCGTGAAGGTTATTTTGGAAAAAAAAAATCTAAAATGAAAAAAAACGTAAGAAAATTGTGAAAGTTTTTATTTTCTTTCATTTCCACCAAAATTAATGTATATTTGGGATAATTTACCGATTTATTTTAAAGACTAAGAGAACCTGGACGGTGGTACTGTGGCATTACCCTAGTTTATTCAGCGGCAGGCAAATTGGGAGGGCTGGGCCCACAGGGCCAATTGCTAAGTGTAAAGCCGGTGATGGCCCTCCACCTGCTCTGAGGGAAGAAGAGAGAAATCCTGGGAGAAAGAGCGTGGAATGCTGTGTTTGGAGAAAGGAATAGGCAGGGTTCTGAAATTGTGTTGTTTGGCTGTTCCCTCTTCTTTACCTCATGGTGCTTCAGAGCAGCTTTGATAACTTGGAGTGAGTTGCGGCACAAAAGGAGATGGATCCTTCCCTTGTGTTGATGCTCTCCAACCTCCTCCAACTCCAGAACCATTTGGACCCCTCCCTCACCACCTCCCTGGCCGATTCCCATAGCAGTGCCGCCCCCCTCCTCTTTTTCACAATCGCGTCTGTCCTCTCCTATGCTGCGGCTGCCCTCCAATCTCGCACCACCAGTGGCACCACCACTGCTAGCGGCACAAACAATGCCGGAGCCGGAGCTGACAGTGACCACGACCACAGCATCAGCGCCTTCCGCTCTCTCGCCATGGAGCACATATGGGCCATGGAGCCGCTTGCCCGGGACGCACAGTGGCGGTCCTCTTACGGCCTCTCGTACCCTGTGTTTGCAAGCCTTGTGGACCAGCTGAAACCCCATCTCAATCGTGCCAACCTTCCCCTCCCCCCTGACTATGCCCTGTCTATGGCCCTTTCCCGTCTGACCCACGGCTCCTCGGCACGGTCCATGTCCCCAAACTTCAAGCTTGACCCCTTCCTCATTGCCAAGACCACCAACACCATCACCCGCCTCCTCTCCACCAAGCTCTACTCCAATTACATACGCGTCCCTGTCAGCCACCGCCTACTCCAGACTGTCCAGGCCTTCAAGGAGCTCTCAGGGCTCCCCAACATTTGTGGAGCCATTGACGGGAGCCATGTCAAGCTGTCACGGACCCCTTCCTCGGATCCACTTGCCTTCAAGTGCAGGCATAATTTCTATTCCGTCCTCCTCCAGGTCATTGCCGACCATAGGCACATCTTCTGGGATGTGTGCGTCAAAGCCCCAGGCTCTACTGATGATGCCTCCCACTTCAGGGAGAGCCTCTTGTACGCTCGGCTCACTTCGGCTGAGATTCTGCGAGACTCAGTGATCAATGTACGAGGCCGCCTTGTTAGGCCTTATATTGTTGGGGACTGGTGCTACCCTTTGCTCTCTTGTTTGCTCACCCCCTTCTCGCCGAATGGTACTGGCACCCCTGCTCAGAACCTCTTTGATGCTTGCTTGATGAGGGGGAGGGGGGTGGTGGAGCACGCCCTCGGGTTGCTCAAGGGGAGGTGGCGCATACTCCAGGATTTGAATGTGGACCTGAACCATGCTCCCCAAACTATTGTTGCGTGTTGTGTGCTCCACAATATATGTCAGATTGCAGGGGAGCCAGAGACTCCTCTATGGAAGGACCCTAAGGAGATGGGGCCAGTTGCGAGGGTGTTGGAGAGTGAGAAGTTGATGTATTATTGTGGGGAGAGTTTGAGGCAGGCTATGGCTGACGATCTCCAAGAGAGGCAGCAGCATGCTTGATGAGGTGAGGACATTCTATTCTGGTGATCCTTTATTGACCTATTTGAGGAAGTTTGGTTGGTCTCTTCTGTTTGATGGTCCCTTGATCAGAAGATTGAAACCAGGAGATAATGCATGCTACTTTATGTGAATCCTACTTTCAAATGTAGCATTTAAGCATCTTTTGTAGTGGTTCTAATATAATCAAAATTTTGAAGTTGTCTCATTTGATGGACAAGTATGTTCAACAAGCTCTCTCATACTATGCATTATATTACCAGAAATTCAACACATATAATCGTCATGCATCATATGGTTACTGGTGGTCATATGAGCATCAATGGGGCAAGGGGCAGATTCTTTGATCTGTGGAGATTCTTAGCAATGTGTTAGCTTCTTGATAGTGGGCATGCATAATGTAATTTTAGTTAGTCTTTCTTACCCTTTTACTATCTATGGAAATTTAGATATATGTTAGTTTCTAATGTTATTTATTATGTTTCTCTGTAGTTGGCTGTGGCATTGTATTTAGAACTAACAAATTTTTGAAGATGGTTGGGATCTTGTGCTAGACATATACTAAATATTAGGATTTGATGTTTGTGATGAGGAGACTGCTAAGACATGCAGTTTCTAGCTTTCCCAATGCCAAACAAGTTAAAATACCAGTGCCTCAGTTTATCAAACATGATTCTCAGCTTTCAAGCTACCAATTTTTACCTTCCTCCCAGAATTCAGGAAAGTTAGCAGCAAGTATTTTCCTGGAGAAACTGCAAAGAAGGTTATCAAATGCTACCTAAGAGACAAAGAGGACCAAAAAAATTAAGAGAGGGGGGATAGAAAATAGATTGAAAGTAGGAGAGGGGGCAGAGTAGGTAGCAATAGAGAGAGAGAGAGAGAGAGAGAGAGAGAGAGAGAGAGAGAGAGTAGTAGTAGTTGTATATATACGTACGTCGGTCCGTCCGCGACCGACCCGTACCTTACGTACGTAACGTACGTACGTACGACGTCGTAGTTCGTCCGTCC